AGAAACATCGATGTGAGAGAGACATTAATTGGTTACCTCCTGCACGCACCCCCACAGGAGCTGTGGATCGAGCCTGCAACCAAGCTACGAGGTATGTGCCCTTGACTGACATCAATCCCAAGACCCTTCAATCTACGGGCCAATGCTCTACCCACTGAGCCACAGCGGCTAGGGCAGGTATTGCAGGCTTAAAAAATCTTGGGCACGGCCATTGAAAATCACTGGTATTAAGTTGCTGATAATGCCCATGGTTTTCTCACACACCAGGTAGGGAAGGGGACGCTCTTTCACTCTATGCTTGCTCAGAAAATGTTTCCTTCTCTGTTTTTACTTCTACAGTCTTGCTCTCATTTCCTCTATAATTCACTTCAAGCATCACCTGGCTTTGCAACCATGCGATGATGCTTCTCACACTTGAGCCTACACCAGAACTCCCTGAGGGCTTCGGAAACAGGCTGGGCCCCTCCCCCAGTTCCTGCTGCTGGAGGTCTGGGGTAGAAACTGAGAATTTGCATTTCTAACAAATTCCTGCTGCTGCTACTCCTGCTGCTGCTGCTGCTGCTGCTGCTGGTCTGGGCACCACACTGGAGAGAAGGGCTGGCTTAGATAAACTCCGAGACTCTGCCCTAGCCAGTGCCATCCAGTCACTCTGCACTGCTGTCTCCCTGTGGTTCTGAGGAGGGCTCCTCTCAAGGTGTGGCTCTCCGTTCAACAGCCAAGTAGGCACAGGGAGCTTCCGGCAGAGACTGTGGACGTCAGCCTGCTAGCAGCGCTGTGCAGAGGGCACTGAGTCTCAGGCATCTAGTCCCAAAGTGGATTCCACGTCTGTCCTTGGGTTTGTGCTATGTCTGCACTCCCTGCAGTCGGCCTTGATCAGAAGTCCTGGGACCCCCAGAGCAGCCTGTTGCTGAGCGGTTCTCCCAGCCGACCTCTGACCCAGGATGCCAGCTCCCTCCAAAGAGACCTCAGTCACAGCTTGGGTGGGGGTGGTGGCATTTATCTGATGCAAGAACTTTGAGGGCAAGTCGAACAGGCAGTCCTCATCTTAACAACTGCAAAATAAATGGAACATAAGGTTCATTTCAAGTTCCTCAGAAGGAAGGTTGTGGAAATCACTGCAAAGATGTAAGTTGGTTTCCATTGAAAAGAACATATTAGATTAGAAATCATAGTTATATTTCCCAAAGGATTAAGTGGAAACCTATTCTGGTCCTCATGACATTTGAAATTTCCCAGTAGTCTGGCCATTTAAGAGGAAACCATGAATACTCTTTGGCTCTTGTAATTCACAGTTCAACAAGTCCACAGTTTTCTAAGCTTCGGGTGAGTTTCAACAGGGCCTGCACTGATCTCTAAGTGCTGCCCTCTTGTGGTCGCCTGAACACATGCCGCTCGTGTTCTGGAGTCTGCACATCTACTTCTTCAAATCAAAGGGAACAGAGCCCAGGAACTGACTGCTCCCACCAAAGGGGGAAAGGTGCTGCAGGTTTGCCACACTTAGATGCTTCCAAAGGATTACAACCATTGCTTTTTAAATATATATTTTTTTTATTGATTTCAGAGAGGAAGGGAGAGGGAGAGAGAGATAGAAACATCAATGATGAGAGAGAATCATTGATTGGCTGCCTCTGCACACCCCCTACTGGGGATGGAGCCCACAATCTGGGCATGTGCCTTGACTGGGAATTGAACCCTGACCTCTGGCTCATAGGTTGGTGCTCAACCATTGAACCAAGCCGGCTGGGCACAACCATTGCTTTAATGACTGTTGCTTTATCAATGTTCTGTGCACAGAAGAGGTAAGAGAGAGTGACGACCTCCGCATTCTCTCCTCCTGCCTCTCGCCCGGCCCGCCCGCCGCCCACCGCCACGACACTGCCAAACCCGTCCCTCCTGTGCCAGGCACTGATTGGCACCATGCCCTACCAATACCCAGCGCTGACCCCGGAGCAAAAGAAGGAGCTATGTGACATTGCTCGCCGCATCATGGCTCCGGGCAAGGGCATCCTGGCTGCAGATGAGTCCACTGGGAGCATTGCCAAGCGACTGCAATCCATTGGCACTGAGAACATCGAGGAGAACCGGTGCTTCTGCCGCCAGCTGCTGCTGACCGCCGATGACCGAGGGAATCCCTGCATCGGGGGTGTCATCCTCTTCCATGAGACACTCTATCAGAAGACAGATGATGGGTGTCCCTTCCCTCAAGTTATCAAATCCAAGGGTGGTGTTGTGAGCATCAAGGTAGACAAGGGCGTGGGTACCCTTGGCAGGAACAAATGGCGAGACTACTACCCAAGGGCTGGATGGGCTGTCTGAACGCTGTGCCCAGTACAAGAAAGACGGAGCTGACTTTGCCAAGTGGCGCTGTGTGCTGAAGATTGGGGAACACACCCCTCAGCCCTTGCCATCATGGAAAAGGCCAACGTTCTGGCCCGTTATGCCAGCATCTGCCAGCAGAATGGCATCGTGCCCATCGGGGAGCCTGAGATCCTCCCTGATGGGGACCGTGACTTGAAGCGTGGTCAGTATGTAACTGAAAAGGTGCTGGCTGCTGTCTACAAGGCTCTGAGTGACCACCACATCTACCTGGAAGGCTCCTTGCTGAAGCCCAATATGGTCACCCCAGGCCATGCCTGTACCCAGAAATTTTCTAACGAGGAGATTGCCATGGCAACTGTCACTGTGCTGTGCCGCACTGTGCCCCCCGCTGTCCCTGGGATCACCTTCCTATCTGGAGGTCAGAGTGAGGAGGAGGCATCCATCAACCTCAATGCAATCAGCAAGTGCCCCCGGCTAAAGCCCTGGGCCTTGACCTCCTCCTACGGCCGAGCCCTGGAGGCCTCTGCTCTGAAGGCCTGGGGTGGGAAGAAGGAGACCCTGAAGGCTGCCCAGGAGGAATATGTCAAGCAGGTGTGGGGGAGGAGAGCCGGCTCCACACTAAAGGGAATGGCAGGGCCCAGGCCCACAAGGCAAGCGAGACATCCCTGGACTCTCCCGAACCACTGGGAGGAATTGAAGGGGGCGGAGTGCCTTCTCCTCTGTGCTGGAGGGATCCCGTGCTGCTGATGTGACCTATGTGTACCCCCAGGCTGGTATGTGGACATGGAACGTGGATTTCTGGATTTAGGGAGAATTAGAGGAGGTGCCCATCAATGGATGCTTTACTCTATGCTGGCCCTGCTGCCTTTAGAAATGTGTTTGACTTTATTATTAGACAAACTTCAAGCACATACAAAAACGGAGGAAATAGTATAATGAGGTCCCATTAGCAAATTATAACCATATCACCAATCTTGTTTCCTCTGCCCCACTTCCTGCCAATGTTATTTTGAGGTAAATACCAGATTTCTATGTCATTTTGTCCATAAATACTTCAGTATGCATCTAACAGATAAGGACTTTTCTTTGAAAAAACAACCACAATACCATTATCACATTAAAAAATGAATGTCTTTAATATCATCAAACACCAGGCAGTGTTCAAATGTCCATCAGTCTCATAAATGTTACATGCTTTTTTAGTTTGTTTTAGAATCCAGGTTAGTAAGGTCCACGCAGGCTGTAAATCCTCAACTTCTGTGTTGAATAATGTTTTGAAACAAAATCTAGAACAAAATTGAACTTCTCTATCCCAACTCTGTTTTATGAAATTGCAATCGTGAGGAGGGTGTATTTTTTTTCCTTACAAAAAAGAACTCCCGAAAGCTATGTTAGTAATTGCAAAGCTGTTTCCCAAGGCCCCGGGTTTCTAGCCTCATAACTGGAAGCACTTGGCGGTCTGAGTGCCCAGCAAGGTTGGCAGGCGAGCCATTTCCCGCTGGGGACCTTCTGGATTGCCGCGTTCCTCCGGTAAATGCCTCCCCATCTCCTCTGAGGTCTAAGTCAGTGTTCATGTGCCGAACCAGCCACCAGGGGGCTCCCGAGGAACTCGATGAACTTCAGTTTCCCCAAAACCCACCTTTGTGCGTTTTATTTGCTTTTTATCACAGACTGAACTCGCCAGGGTGCGGCTTGTCTCCTCCTTCCGGTCCAATTCTGCCCGCAGAAGAGACCGGCCTCAGGGAGATGTGGCTTGTTCCCCGAGGCTGGCTGGGAAAGGACACGGTGAGCTGTCCATCGCTCTGTCCAAGGATTTGAGGTTTGCAACCCCTCGCCCCTCAGTGGCCCTCCCTGAATAGCCACTTGATGGCAGAGAACATACACAGGGGGTTAGGGGGAGGGAAGCAATATGAGTTAATAAGCTCCCTGTAGCCTTATGATTTTTATTAAATTTTTCGATTACTGGGGACACAGAGAGTGTTGCTATAAGCATCGTTGGACATGTAGGTAGGGGTGGTTAACGTGAAATTACACGCTCAGGAGGAAACCTGCGCCTCCAGGTTCTCCATCTGGCCTCACCAGTCCCTCCCCGTCTCTAGGTCTCAGTGCTGGAAACTGAGGGGGTGGGGGCAGAAGCGGCTTGCTAGGGGCCCCCCCTCTCCGTTGGGAGTTTTTGTTGGAGGAAGATATCAGTTTGCTGGGAGTCGTTTAAAATGACAGAAAGGTATGGCCTCACTATTCTGGAAGGCTAGAAGTCCTAAGCCAGGGGGTCGCAGGCCCATGCTGTCCTGGGGGGCTCTGGGGAGAAGCCTTCCTTGCGTCATCTAGCTTGTTTGGCGGCCATCCTTGGGGTTCTTTGGCTTATAGATGACCATCTTCTCCCTGTACCCCATCTTCCCTCTGCGCATTTCTATCTCTGGGGCCAGATGTCCCTTTTCAGAAGCACACAAGTCATATTGGATTAGGGCCAGCCCCACCCATGGCTTCATTTAATGGGATCACTGCTATAAAGACCCTATCTCCAAATAAGGCCACATCCTAATATACTAGGGGGATTAGAATTTCACATCTTTTCGCGGGGAGATACAAGTTAACCCATCATAGGACCACGTTGTAGAAAAGATAATGTTTGGAAGACTTGTAACAACATACCCATGAACTGTGCTCGCTAGTGGGCCACACCATCCTGAGGATCCAAAAAAGTTATGAGTCTACAAAGGTATGAGAATAACACAGAAACTACTATGATGAGGAGAACTACAGTGTGATTTTAATAAGGAACGTTAGCATTTTAACAACCAAATTACATCCTATTCACTATATTTGATGTTTTTCTGTGATCACTAATATAGAAAATAAATACAGGATGAGACCATAAATATCCAGAATATTTTTTGCTAAAAAACACATCAAAGGGTAATTATTATGCTACTAAACAGATGATCATAGAACTCTTTTATATATTAAATACTTAGAACTCTTTTATAGATTAAATACAGGGAACTTCATACTATAAACATCCACAAAATCAGCTTCACGCCCCTTTTCAGAAACTCACCCATTTGTTACATAAACGAGGCCACCCCTGCTTTTGCCCTTTACCACCAAAAAAGGGCCTTCCGTCTTTGGGGTTTTACTAGGCCGTTCCTGGCCCTTCAGGTATCGGTCCCAGAAGGCACTGCTTCAGTTCCTGACACGGTTTCTCAATGAAGAGCGTCAGGGCCAGCCCAGCGACGAAGGTCAGCAGACAGTGTCCAGAGAAAAGATAGAACTGGAGAGAAAGAGGGGCACAGTGGGCACACTCTTACTACAGGAGTCCTCTTGTGTTTGGATCTTAAAGTGTACCATCCCGGCTGTGTGAAACGTATCTGAGACAAACAGCCCTGAACATTAACAAATAGAATAAATAAAGCAAAGATATTATCCTGTGCAGAAGCCCTCCCTCAAACAAGACAAAGAACAATAGGCTCCCAGCCACAACAACAGGCTCCTCACAAAGCGAATAGTGTTGCTTTGTTGCCCCGGAGAGAACAGCTGGGAGGCTGCAGAGCTGGGCGGGGAGACTCACCATGTTGGTGTCCGTGTAGTGAATGAGCGTCTCCTGGAGGCCGTTGTAGAGGATGATGACGATGGGATGCACCAAGTAGCAGGCATAACTGATGCTGGCCAGGAAGCTCCACATACCACAAGCAAGCAGCTGGTTTACCAGACCTGCAGGGAACAGGCCTCGAGAGTCATTGCCGCTCCCTCAGGTGCTGCCCCTAAGTCTGCGGACTCCTTCTAAGAAGGTCTTCATTCATTATCATTTTTAAGAGAACGCACCCCCCAAAAAAACCACCCAACTTCCCATTGTAGGAAGATGAAAATGTAAGAAATGCTAATATTGAGTTTACAGGCAGTTTACTTCCTTCCTGTGGACTTGACCCCTGAGCACAGAACATCCACATGTATAACAAGGGGCGGAGTCCTCTCACTAGCCTGGGCCCGGTTCCGGGTGCAGCCACACGAACTGTGGGGCCTTGGGACCAGGCAGTGGACATGCCAGCCTCAGATTCTTCGCCCATTATTGAGCAGCTTGCATTTGGTCAACTTCTAGGTCCCTTTCAGGACAAATATTCCATAACTTGGGTCCCGAAGAATTCTTAATCCTTTAGAATGGGCTCATCTACCATTCAAGATTGGGGGCCACTGCTGCCGGCGACGGGGCACCACTGGAAGGTTTTAACTGAAGGCGTAACATGGGCAACTCAACAGAATCAGACCTTGAACAGAGCAAGACCCGCACGGCCAGCTTTGGCAATGACTGCAGATGATGGAAAAGGTGGTTCGGGCCATCGAGATCCCTTCTCGTCCTGAGCATCTGAATTAAACTCTTCTTCAAACATTCTTTTCTAGATACACTTTTCCGAAGGTCATCGCATGGACACACATTTTCTAAATATTTATCTAACTCATCCCCCGCCCCGCCCCCCACACACACACATTAACCTACTAGTCTTGTCATTTGCTGACACCTCAGCACCCAGTTCCCACTGTGTGCCAAGTAGAGAGAAAGGGAAGGACCATCGGTGCACAGATACTTCTCATCTGAACAAATCCCTTTCTTTCCACTTAGGCCCCCTTTTTGCTTGATTTCCTGCGAGGTGACGCCTGGCTCAGCAGGAGCAGTCTCCAGGGCCATCAAAGGGCTGGGACCTCAGTGGCTGTTCCGTCTCTTCTCCCAGATGAGCACACCGAGGCCCGGGCGGGTGCCCCCAGAACTCGTGTGCCCTGCACTGGGGTTGCTTTCCTCATGACCCTGCCTGCTCTCTTCCAACTTCTAAACCAGCTTCATTGGAGAGGCTGCACATTTCCTCCCAGAACCTGCATTTGTTCATAAGCTGGTGTCAAATCTCAAACAGAACATGTGGGGTTTTCCCAAGGATACAGACGAGTGGAGGTTTCAGATCCATTCACCAGCAAGCCCAAGCCCCTCTGCGCACACGGTTTTCACATTTGTCACCTTTAAAGGGCCAGTGTGAGCACACGAACGTCATACCTCCATAGCCTTCGTGACAGGCGAACACGACCCAGCCCACGGCCACCGCCCACAGGCTCCGGTGCACGGCCTGGTAGACAGCAGCGGCCACTGAAGGGGTGGCAGAGGTGTCGTCCACTGCGTACGCCACAGCGACCACGGCGAGCAGGCTGGACAGGGAGCAAGTCCACCCGAGCAGAGCCTGCACCTACAGGGCAGGGAACGATGCCGCTCACAGCCCCCTGGGGCACCGCACGCTTCCTTCTCCACACTACCTTCCTCTTTTGTACTATTGCTGTCACGTTAGGTGTCTATTTATAAACCTCAATCAGTACCCACATTTGACTAAATGGAAGGTTCAGATTAGTGGTTGTGAGGGCTAGGGTTGGGGCGGGGCAGGGGAGGGGGGTGGCCATGGAGAGGCGGCACAAGGCAGGTCTTTGTGGTGACAGAGGAGTCCTGTGCGTTGACTGTGGTGGTTGGTGGTCACACAAACTCACACACGTGCTACAACTGCACAGCCTTGTCACCCATACGTAAGTGAGTGCCCAGGGCGCCAGGGATCGAAGGCCCGTGGATGTACCCATGTCGGTTTCTTGGTTGTGACGATGGACTATAGTGGGGGAACTTGGGTCAAGGGGACACAGTGCTGTTTTTGTCACTCGCGATGGCTCTCAGATCATATTGAAAGAAAAATTAACTGACAAAAGGAGGCTCACCTTGTTTTTGAGAATGTTTGCCTGGTGGTTTTGGTGCATGAAAAGGCTCAGAAAGACACCCGCAAGGAATGGCCCGATTCGGCAATAGGGCTTAGTGTAGTACTCCGAAAAATACAGCACAGTCGCATTTTCACTGAATAACACAAGGAAATAAGACAAAAGACTAAGTTTGATCTGGACCTGAAAAGGGGAGTTTCTCAGATGCCCATTGAGTCCATCAGCCGACCCAAAGTGGAATTTGGGGTACCTTTGTTCATTTCTTAAGTAACGATCCACACAGGGACCTCATGATCCTGCTGTGGGCCATAGCTGCCTTGCTAAGATTCCAAATTGCCATGGGCCCCTCCTCCCTGGATCCTAAGGAATATGACAGTGGTCTTCATTTTCAATAGTTGTTTCTGGTGGCTGGTATGTCAGGATGACTCGGAAAACATGGTTCTCAGAAGTGAACCTCTTCTGAAAGAAGTGAATCCCTTCCTGGGAGCTCGTACAGAATTCGATTGCCCGGCCCCGGGCCACACCCAGTGATTCCATGGGTCTGAGATGGCCCTTTCTGGGAGCATCAGTGGGAATTAAGAGGCCCCAGGGGACTCCCATGTCCCTCATGTGCATTCAGACCTGAGAACCACTGGGGGAGAGGGGGCAGCCACCTCTCGGTCACCTGGCCACACCCACAGAAGACAGTGACATGATGGAAGGGCATGATGCTCCCCTAGTTAAAAGGCCTAGGGTGTCTGGCCAGTGTGGCTCAGCAGTTGAGTGTTGACCCAGGAACCAAAAGATCACCGGTTTAATTCCTGGTCAGGGCACATGCCCCAGTTATGGGCTCATTCCCCAGTAGGGGTCATGCAGGAGGCAGCTGATCGATGATGTTTCTGTCTTATAGATGTTTCTATCTTTCTATCCTTCTCCCTTCCGCTCTCTCTAAAAATCAATAAAGGGAAAAAAATTTAAAGGCCTATGGGGTAGTCATTCATCCCACTCACAAATTCATATTGAGCACTTATGTGCCAGGGATGGTTCTGGGTTATTTGACATCAGGTGGCCAGCAAACGCTGCTCTGAGAAGGTGACATTTACACAAACACCTGCAGGAAGTGAAGGAGCAAGCCCTGCCAAGATCTATATTCTAAAGGAAAAGCACTCCAGTGTCAGAGAACAGCGAATGCAGAGGCCCTGGTGAGGGAGCATGGTTGGTGTGTGGACGTAAGGAGGTCAGTGTGGCTGGTTCAGCATCGGCAGGTAGGGGAGTGAGGGGGGAGGTCAGACAGGGATTCTGCTTTGAGAGAATGGATGGTGATTGGAGGAACTTGAGTAGATGGCTGACAGGATCTGATTTTCATTTGCATCACTGACTGCTGCACTGAGACTAGATCAGCAGGTAATTGCACCAGTTTATCCTGTGTAATGCACAGGGTGGTCATAAAGACATACTTCATTAGGGAAGCAATATAGCCTTATGTGTAGGGTCCCAGGTTCAGCTCACACCTGTGCCCGGTACTAGCTGTGTGACCTTGAAGGAATAACCCCAAATTCCTCAAGTATCAGACTCTCCAACAACAAAACCCCCCAGCAGCAGTTGGCCACTGGAGGAGAAACACAAGACGGCCACGTGGGGGTGCTCCTTTCCTCTGAGAAGCACTTCAGCGGCCAGAGGACCCCTGGGCAAGTTGAAAGGTTCAGAAGATCGGAAACAAAAGTGCCATCAACTTTCCCATCCGGGCTGAACACGCCCCGCCTGGTTTTTCCACAGGGCAAACAGCCTGGCATTCGTCCCCCAGTCCTCCCTGGGAGGTCCTGGCGTGCCCAGGCCAGGCAAGGCGCAGAGCCGGGCCGGCTGGGAACGGTTACCTTGCTTCTGACGGAGCTGCCACGGGGAGGTCATGAGCCAGTGTGAGCAAAGCAGTGGCAGTGAAAGATGCCAAGAACAGTGCGGCCCCGAGGAGGACAAGGGCGTGTTTACTTCTGCAGAGAAGAGGGGACATTGACAAGAGTGCTCTTCAGTTTCCTTCACCGCAGAATCTGTGGACAGGAAAGACTTGCAACCCTGGCAAAGGCGAGGCCTGCCTTTGAGAGAGGCTGGCATGGGGCAGCTGAGGCTGAGGGGGGCTTAGGGGGGCGAGAGGTCTATTTACTTAAAAAATAAAATAATCTAGGGAAACGCTTGTGTCATAAAACCATTAAAAGGAAGATACTAAAGTGTATGTGCAGAATCCTTTCATGCGTAAGAAGCCGTGCAGAAAAAGATCGGAAGGACAAACACCAAAATATGGACAGCGAATTCACAGCTCTTTGAGGGAGGAATCGGGTCCAGGGCAATTGTGTTCCCCTCTCTTCATCCTAATGTTTTCTCCAATGTCCTTAATTTTTTTTTTTTTTAATCTTCACCCGAGGTTATTTTTTCCATTGATTTTTAGCGAGAGAGAGGAAGGGAGGGGAAGAGACAGAAAGAAACACCAGTTTATCCTGTGTAATAGACAGGGTGGTTATAAGGGAGAATTGTTTGACATGCTTCACTAGGGAGGCAAAATTGCATAGTGTGTAAGGTCCTAGGTTCAGCTCACACCCATGCCACTTACTAGCCATGTGACCTTGAAGGGTTAACCCAAATGTGTCTCTCAAATCAATGTGTGAGAGAGAGACATCAATTGGTTGCCTCCTGCATGTCCCTGACCAGGGCCGGGAGCCTTCTACCCAGGCACATGCCCTTGACCGGAATCAAACCCGGGACCCTTCAGCCTGCAGGCTGACCCTCTATCCATTGAGCCAAACCGGCTAGGGCCCAATGCCCTTAAATTTAACAAAAGAGAAGAATACATCTTTTAAAATGTGGCATGGATAATGCACACACCATCAGTTTCTCCGTGAATGACTGAAGCCCTAGTTTAGAGTTTTTCTAAAACTAACAAAAATTCAGGTGATAAATCACCCACGTGGAGAAGCGGGCACACAGATGGGTTGCTTGGGGCGCTGTAAATTCCTTCACTCTTTCCGGAGAGCCATCTCCTGGTATGTCACAAAATTGTTCCTACCTTTTGACATAGTAATCCCACTTACATATATGTCCCCAAGGAAATAACTAAGAGAAAGAGTAGTGTGCTCCAAGGAACTCGTTGTCATCCATAGTCATGAAGAATTGGAAACAATCTGGATGCCCTAACCTTCGAACTGGCATTTCATCCTAACACTGACAAGTATGCAGGTCATGCCAACATGTGGAAATGTTTATATGAAGAGTTACATGGAAAACGCTGAGCACGAGATGTTGCACACACATGGACCATAGCTCTGCACAAACACGGACTGCTGTGTGTAGGACCAAGATTGGGGGCGAAGGTAAACAGTGCAGGATTTCATGCTGCAAACTCATCTGAGAAGTTCTTATCCCAAATTTTAAAAGCTGCTCTCCCCAGACCTGGAGCACTCTCCTGGAATTTTGTGGGAAAGGGCACAGAGGGAGGAAACATGTCCCAATGACTCACTTTCCATGGACGAAGACGATGACCGGCGTTGTGAGGTGGAAATGGAAGTCACTGGCCAGGTACCACGTCCAGCCGTTGCACTGGAAAGAGAGCAAAGGTTACTTCTCTCTGCCATTTTCCAGGTCTGCCTCCCACCAGGAGAGGAGTTCAGTAGGCAGGTGGGGATTTCCATGGAAGAGAGAGGAATAGTGAGTTACAGGAATCTCACATACCTCATCTCATCTAATCTTTGTAATAAGCCTGTACGGTAGGTTCCAGTTTACAAAATGGAAATTGAGTTTTCTCTATTGTTTACAAAAGAAAACAATAATATCGAATCTCTTAGGACAGCTGTGGGAACGAAACTGTATCGTATTACACAGATGCAAGGAATAATTACTGTTATGGTGCGGTTGGAGTCAGGCTCGCTGCTGTTCTCTCTTCTGTGCCTCGCCCCCTTCCCTCCCCCACTCTAGGAGGAGAGAATGTGTCCTTTTAGAACGGAGGCCTGGCTCCAGACGAGTTATGTGGGAAACCCAGGGTTCCCACGCATGACTGACATGAGATCGTCTGGCCAAAGCCACATCTTTCATCACTTACCTGTCTGTGTGAAATGAGGCTGCTACCTGTACTTCTTCTTCAATGTCAGGACATTCCTGGGGGCATCCTCTCCAGCGCTTCAGCAATTAAGGGCACCTTGGTCTCCCTCCCACCCCCTCTGTCCAAGGGAGACCAAATTTACCCAACAGAAGCGACAGCTTTCCTGTCCCGCCTGGAGACAAGTTCCCTGGTGGGGAATTTGCAAGGCCCTCACACCTCTGCTTCCAAGACCTAGGGCGGGTTTCACCTCTGAGAGGCGACTGGCTGATGTCTTTGTCACTGATTCCCACACATGGCCCAAGCCAGTCTGCAGCTAGGAAAACAGCCCAGGCTCTCTGTCCTCCATGGGGCCTGGCACAGACCTGGGCCCACCTGAAGGCAGTTGGGTGGTGATACATGCCCGTCAAAGCTGCTGGGCACTTGTGTATCGAGGGCAGCTTCTAATTGGAAAGTGTTTATGTGCGTGATTAGCCCCACGCTAGGGATTCTTTCT